TGGGGAGAATCCCCATGAGAGCCTCACCTCTTGGTCTGTAGCAAGGTACAAAGCTGGGCCTGATGTCTTAACAGTGCCTCATATTCCTTCTGCCAGACCTCACCATGGGCAAGTTCTTCATGGATCCATTCTTGTAGCCAAGCATTCTCATCTTCAAAGTTCCTGAGTTTGTAGGAGAGAAAGTTGATGAGGAGTGAATGTGGGGCATTCTGGTAAATCCGAGAGGTTGCAGAAGTGATACTGCCTGTCCAACTGATAAGTGTGAGAAGCAAGAACTAGATGTTCCTCCAAAATTGATGAAAAAAACAAGAAGAAAATGAGAATTGTTACCAAGAGCCCTCCAGCAATATTAAAGGAACTGTAGGAATGCCTGGCAAGTACTGGTGATGTACTACAATAACAATCTCCCATATTCGTCATATGTCTGGGCTATGGGGTAGGGTGATAAAATGGAAGCATTTCTTTTTACAAACAAAACATCCAAGCCTGGCTACGTTTTGCAAAATCTACATCAAGTCTGACAAAGGCATGTGGGAAAATGTGTGATGGTCTGATGAGACCAAGGCTGAACTTTTTGGCCATAATAATCCCAAAAAGTATGTTTGGTGCAACAGAGTTCATCACCAACAGAGTTCATACACCATACTCACAGGGAAGCATGGTGGCACCATTATGCTTTGGGGCTGTTTTCCTCAGCTGGAACTTGGGCCATTAGTCAAGGTAGAGGGAAATGAACAGTTCCAAATATCAGTCAATTTTGGCACAAAACTTTCAGGCGTCTGTGAAAATACTGAAAATGAAGAATTTCTCCTTTCAAGATGACCATGACCCAAAGCATGCCTCCAAATCAACAAAAGAATGGCTTCTCTGGAAGATCATCAAAGTTTTGGAATGGCCCATCTGAATCCAATTAAAAATCTATGGGGTGACAGAAAATGCCCTCACAAACTGACAGATTTGGAGCACTTTTGCAAGGAAGAGGGGCAAAGATTCCCAAGGCAAGATGTGCCATGCTGATAGCTCCTACTTCAAAATATTGGATGCTGTCATAAAATCAAAAGGTGCTTCCACTACTTTTAAGTTTGCATTATTGTAAGTTTTTTTGTATTCCCCCCCTCCCCAAATGCCCTGGAAATTTTGTGTACCTTTTTCCTGACTGATGCCTTCCAGCAATGACATCCCTTTCATGCTTTGTAAGCTCTTAGCAGACCATGGCTTCTGCTGTAAAAGGCAACTGAGTAACTCTCAGAAAAATCCTACTACAACAGCTGAATTTTATAAGGTCTGATCAGTCATTTTAATTTATGGCAAGTGTGCACTATTTTAACATCAGTTTGAATGTGATTAATTCACATTCCTCTTTATAAGAGGATGTGCACACTTATGCAACCTTATTGTAAGATTATTTTTATTTCTCCTTAGAGAAATAAAAGTATATGTTAAAGGAGGAAAAATTCTGAAGTGATTTATCTTGGTTTGATTTTTACATCTCAAAAACCTTGTATTTTAGAAGTATTATAAATACAAAATACAAAACTTCTATTACTATTATAGAAGTATCTTCTTTTTATATCCACTGTATTTCCTAAAAGCTGGATTTGTTTCTTCCTTTCTTATATACTATGAGAATGTCCTTTCTCATACTAATGTAAACTTATTGCCAATCTTTTCTTTTGGCTAAAAATTCAAGATTCTGTGTTTAAGCATGTCTCTGTCTATAAACAGAGGTCTTCAAACTTGACGGCTTTAAGTCTTGTGGACTTCAACTCCCAGAATTCCTCCTCCAGTCATGTTAGTTCAGGAATTCTGGGAGTTGAAGTCCACAAGTCTTAAACTTGCCAAGTTTGAAGACCCTTGGTCTATCAGTTGTTACGTACACTGTCTGCTTATTCAGGGAAACAGCTGATTATAATTAAAACTGACCATATTCACCAATTGCAGAAGATTGTTTTTTTATTTGTTCTGTGAAGATGAAGCCAACATGTTTAGCCCATGTGTATTTAACATTTTTTTTAAAGAGCCCTGGTAGTGCAGAGATTAGAATGCAGTATTGCAGGCTAAATTTGCTCACTGCCAGGAGATTGATCCTGACCTGCTCAAGGTTGACTCAGCCTTTCATCCTTCTGAGATTGGTAAAATGAGGGCCCAGATTGTTGGGGCAATATGCTGACTCTGTAAATGGCTTAGAGTACAGTGGTGGGATTCAAAATTTGTTACTACCAGTTCTGTGACTGTGGCTTGGTGGCCATGGCTTGGTGGGCGTGGCAGGGGAAGGATACTGCAAAATGTCCATTCCCTCCCCATCCCACTAACCTGCTTTCCAGCTCCGTTCTCCTGTGCAGGGCAACAAAAGAAGACCCAGCCGATCAGCTGGGACTCGGGAGGCAGAGAAGAGATGGGGGCAGGGCCAGTCAGAGGTGGGATTTGCTGGTTCTCCAAACTACTCAAAATTTCTGCTGCCGGTTCTCCAGAACTGGTCAGAACCTCCTGAATACCACCTGTGCTTAGAGAGTGTTGTAAAGCACTATGTGGTGGTATCTAAGTCTAAATGCTATTGCTATTATTTATATAAATAGCAGACAAGAGAGGGCGGGGTGATCCAAATCAAAAGGGAATGTGAATCAAGCCTCCCTCCCCATATTTCTAATAGGATGTGTAGTGGGAGAACAGGTTATTTGGCTAAATAGAATGTGGAAACAAAGAGGTGGTTTTATTGCAATTTGTTCAGGTGTTGTAGGCAGTATACTGTACATGGAACATGTCCCATTTTGTCCTCAGTAAGGTGAGTTGAAAGGTACTGTTGGTTCATTTGGTCAGCCAACTCCATGGTTGAATGGGAACCCAAGCCTGAATCTGGATCTCTCTAGTCCCAGTCTAAAATGGTAACAATTATACAAAACTGGGTCTAGGCCCTTGTACCTGTATGAAAAGCCCCAAATGGTTCCACTGTACAGCTTACAGTATATGTTAAAGGAAGAAAAATTCTGAAGTGATTTATCTTGGTTCGATTGTTATATTTCAAAAACCTTTCATTTTAATAGAGGTATGTTCTTTTTATACGCACTGTACTAAAAGCTGAATTTGTTTCTTCTTCTACCTGTATGAAAAACCCCAAATAATTCTATTGTTGATGATGGTATTGCTATTCCTGTACAGGTAAGAGACAAGTGTAAATATTGTATCAAGTTTGATCCGCACTACTCCCTATTCAGTATGCTAAAGATATCAGTTTTCTGTGACATACTTCCCATGGCCTGACCACATCCCATATTCACAATTAGCTCTTTCTCACAATCAGGCTGCAAAGAAATGTTGTTAAAACACACCCAGGACTTCCTTGCTTGAGTTTACTGCTTCGACTCAGCGCCATATTCATGTTCCACAATTCCTTAGTTGGGCAATTTATTTCTTAGAGAAAATCAATACATTTACAAGCATGGATTGGAGACCCTGAAAAAGAAAAGATCAAACTATTCAAGCATTTAGAAATGTTGAACCACTTACATGTAAGGACACACCAAAATTGCTGTGCATGTGATGCAATGCATACATAAAAACATGTTACAAAAATAAAAGCAGTCAGGAAAAATTGGCCAGATGTAAGTCATATTTTTGTATGACCAACTTGCATGTTTGTGTGTGCGTCGTGAAACTGAGGCCTTTACCTGGTACCTGCCACTCAGGGACAGATTCATCAGGACATTAGTTAGTGACCACCAAGCCAATCAAATATACCTTCTAAGAGTCACTCCCTAGGCCAGTTGCCATCACATAAGAATATGTTGCTTGGCAACCAACTGCCAACTATTACCATTCTATCCTCCAATGCATCTCAAACATAGGGCTAGTTCCTCACATGCTCTAATCCTAGAACCAATCCGCCCTGGCAATAGCCTTTTCACTGGCCCCCAGGGGTATTGCCTCCATCTCCCATCTAGCAGACTATGAGTGAAACAGTTTTAAATCATTTTCATTGCTTCAGTGAACATTCCCCTTTTAGCCCAGCACGCTAAGGCAGGCAAAATCTGTTAGGCTTTTTCACCTATTATCTTGGAGGGACATCTGGAACTGCAGCAACAACTTTATGGTATTTTTTCCTGAACTGTGGGATAAGCAGTTTCACACTGAAATGAATCCCAATGACATGCCAAGGGACTCTAGGAATTTATCCTCATCCCACCTCAAAACCCAGGCCCCATATGTGTTGACGCCATCAGATCTCTCTTTAGGAGGGAAGGTATAGATTAGTCGAGCCCCCTGATAATATCCTGCATTCTTCCATTGCAAAAACAAATCCAGAGTGAAAAGAAGTGGCAGAGTGCTTGCTGTAATGTCTGCTCTCCTATCTCACTGACGAGGGATATCCCTTTTTGGTCCTCTCAGGAGTGAGAATACCGGTATTAATGCTCATAACCACTGTGGAGGGTAGGAGAGGCAAGATGAGCCAGTGTTTAGAGGTGTCCAAAAGTAATCTTTCAGTGAATATTGTTGAGGAAACCAGCGACTCTGAGGCTGAAGCTCAGCTGCAGCTTCTTCAAACTCATAGGAAAAGCTGTTCCCTCAAAAAAAGGAAAAAAAGCTGCAGCTTTTCTTTTGATACAAAGAATAAGACTTTGTTGCCGTAGACCTGTGGCAGCTCAGAACAGCTAGTAACTTTTGTTCCTTTTCAAAATGCCAGGTTTACATATGATTATTAGTCATCTTGGAGCTATATCTAAGCATTCAGATAACAGCTGAGACCTTTTGCATAGCAATTTCCCAGATGTCTCTTGCTTCTCACACAGTATAACCTGAACAGGAAGAGCAACTATACATTGGCTGGATTCATGTGACACAACAACTGGCAATAGCACTTAGATTATATACCACTTCATAGTGCTTTACAGCCCTCTAAGCTATTTACAGAGTCAGCATATTGCCCCCAACAATCCAGGTCATCATTTTATCAGCCTTGGAAGGCCAAGTCAACTTTGAGCCAATGAGAATGGTTTATTATGCATGGTTTATTGAATAAACTATACATAATATACTAAGTCATGTGCAATGGAAGTCACACCTACTGGGTTGCATAACATTATGCCAGAAATATGCAACTCATATTTTGACTTAGCACTGTGAACCCACACTTAAACAGAACCAAAGGCTCATTTGACATTGAGTGGAGGTCTTTTAATAGCTGCAAGATGCAAGCCTTTCAGTTGGTCTAATCTGCATAAGAAATTACACTCTTCAGCACACAACTGCTCAAAATGAGCTGTGTTCTCCTTTGCATCATAGTTGAGTTTGATGGATATGAAAAAGGAATAACGATTTGATAGGTGCAGGCGTGCCCATTTTTTTCACTTATGAAACTATGCCAGATCCAATAAAGGAACTCCTTTGTACCCTTATTTTTTAGCCCAGGGAAAGGACTACTCTATCAGCCCCTTCAACATTTGACCCTAATAGAAGATAAAAATAAAACTCATTTCCAGGATCTGTTGATGGAAACTTCAATGCATTCATTGTAATACTGCTAGTTATAGACCCTAGCCCTTAGCCCAATTTCATTTATTCAGAAAATATATCCAAGAATGCGCTAGACCAATTGCTTCGGCTGCACTGCTGCCTTAGATCCCTTCCACATATCACTGGCATTAAATAGAAGTAGATCATACCTACAGGAATGTTTTAGACTATGGAAAAGATGATCCCTCCTTACTGCATGGATAATGAAATACAAAAGGTTCTTTTATATCATAGATGACAATAACTTTGTGGTCTGGAATGCTATTTAGTAGGAAGAAAAAGACACGTAAATACCCAATTTAGGTTTCAAAATATGGTTATCATATAAATGAATTTTTATGGTAGTAATGATAGAGTAACACAGCTGAGATTCCAAAATCCTTCTATCTGGGAGTCCAACTGGGTAACTAGTCTCTATTACATTCTCTTGACTAATACTACCGGGCAGGGGCAGGTGTGCCTTCTTTGTAGGAAATGGAAACATAGACCCTTTCGCCCATAATCATTATCCCACTACGAGGTTCCCTTGTGAGTTAGAACATCCATTGAAGTCCAAAATGTTTATATTTGTCACACATGTCTCTTCAAATGCAGAGAGAGGTGGTCCGAACGGGAGAAAGCACGCTGACAGAGGTGACACTTGAATGGACGCTGTCCTGTGTGTTTACGATAATGGCGAGTCAGCTCATCTGAACGGGCAAATTTCCAACCACATCCTTCCCAAGTGCAGTGATACGGTTTCTCTCCTGTAAAACAGATAGTACCACTATGTCCTTGTGCTACCACTGGGCCCAAGAAGCGTCATTATTTTAAGTTACACAGTTAACATTCACGCACAGAATTCTGAGGAAACAAGCAGCCCAAAATTACATGATTTCCCACTTCCTCCCCAAGTCTCAGGGTAAAGGGGCCACCACATAGTGCAATATCCAAACCTTAGATATTCAGCGGAAACAGCAGAAGGTGGACTCAAAACAGGTAAGCAATTTCTAAGGCCCCAGAGCAGAGGATAAAATGCTCCAAGATCCAATACCCAGCTGCACCCAGCCTCTGTATCAGGGGTGTCAAACTCTCACCATCACGATGGTGTCACATGACATATTGGGACTTTCCCCCCCCTTCGCTAAACTGGGCAGGGTCGGGGCCAGCATGTGACACATCTGGGCCACGGGCCATGAGTTTGACACCCCTGTTCCATATCATTCTTTCTTACCTGTATGTGTGCGAAGATGAGCCTTGAGATGGGAGCTCTTGGTATATGTCTTCCCACAACTGGGATGACTGCAGATGTGACTAGCAGGCCGCTTGTGGGGCCATTGTTTGTGTCCCTTCCTTGGCTTGGCTATGGCTTCTCTAATAGGTGAAGGTGGTTTCCTGAAACCAAGGAGTGGCAGAGCATGGAGAACAGAATCAGTCTGGTACATTTGAACTCGGGCTTGATATGGACTATGGGAGAAAGGATGGTAACCATTCAGCTGACTGCAATGTGGCAGCTGGGAAGCCACTGCAGCTGGTGGAAGCTGATTGTAAGAAACATGTTTGCCTAGCAAGTGAGGACTTTGCTGTACATAGGCTTCACAGGTTAAATGATAATATTGGCCAAGAGATCTTTGTCTGCGCTCCCTGGGCTGTTGCCCTGCTGCGACAAGAGCCATAGAATCTCCCTGGGCAAAGTGTGGCAACTGATTGTTGGAAAATACTAGGCCCTTATTGGGCTCTGTTATATCCTGGATATAACTGGGTAGAACCGGGTTACAGTTCACAGAGTTCTCTTTTAGCAGGAACTGGACTTCCGAGCTTGAGGGACCAGGAAGTTCTGGAACCTTGGGGCTTCCTGGGAGCTTTTCTCTGACTTCCTCCTCAACTGACTCTGCCTGACAGACAGCAGACATCGAGATCTGGTCCTCTTGGTCAACTGGAGTAAGACCAGCATTTCGTCCCGAGGTAGAAAAATTTCTTAGGAGAAAGTCAAGATCCCAATAGGCTTCCTCATGCTCCTGCTTGACATGCTGGATCGCCTCAGGTTGGTTCGACTCCAAGAACTCCAGAGATGGAGTTTCAGGGCAGTCTTCCGTCTTCCACCACTAGAAAGCAAATAAATAGCTCATGAAATAAATTGCATTCCAGGTATGAAATGCAGGTAGAAGCTGGGGGTGGGGGTGGGGAGATGGGGAAACAAGTAGACTCTTGATAGACTTGTTTTAGTAAGTGCCTTTCACTAATTGAAAGACAAAAGTGGGTCACAAAAGTTGTGATGGATGAGCTTCAGAAGCCAGGGCAGGCACAGGCTGGAGCCTGCCATTAAGGTGGAGATAAGAAGCCCACTATCACAAGGCTGCATAAGTTTCTGTCTTACAGTTGGGAGAGGCAGAATGTTAGTTATCTCACTGGCCCTTAGAAACAGGCAACAGAAACATTCACTACTCAAGAGGCTTTTTCAGGCTTGGACAGCATCCTATGGTTGTTCTACTGGAGACTTTCAAGGACTACAGATTAGAAGAGTAGAATATTTAACATTTATTCTTTGAAGAACATCACATTATTGTAAAGATTGAGTAAATACAGTACAATAAAACTGTTTATGATCTGTGTATTATTACAGCCAGGTAATCAATACAGAAGCAGCATTTATTTCTTGCTAAAATTGGATTTGATATCATAAATACAGTATCTCCATTGCTTGTATTCAGGTTCTGACTTGCAACTACAAAATGTATGATAAAGTATCATTTTAAATTTATTATGACTCCTGGCCACCATTTTATGAAATTATGCGATGCTGCAAAGGATGGACACGATCAAGGCCGATCTAGAGATCGCGAAGGCAGACCCGACATACGTGGCAGACAGAGAGGCGTGGAAGCAGTACTCAAGGACATTAGCGGACCTCGCCAGAGCGCGAGACAAACGCTGAAGAAAAAGAAGAAGATGCGATGCTGCAAAGAAGAATTAAAAGCATAGACACTATTGTTATAAATGCAGATAACATTAGGAAAACTTAGTATTAAAAACTAATTGACAAGATTATAAAACTATGTTGTGAATAAAAACTCTTTACATACTAAATATTATGGTGAAGTAATATGTAAATACATATATATATATATACACACACACATACAAACATATATACATACACACTAATTTTATATAGATATAGATATAGATAGTATTTATATATGTGTGTGTATTTATTAATAGTTATGTATTAATATTAATAGTATTAGTAATGTTAGTTTCCTGTGTGAAGCAATGGCAGCCAAAAGAAAATTTGCAATTCCTCTAAGGATACTAGAGTTCCTACAGTAAGAAGCAAATCAAACTGTTCATAGAACCATGGATACTGCTACTAATAAGTAGAATTATAGGAGCAGGGTGCAAGAAGTTATAGAAAAAAAAATCCAAGAAATGTGTGAGCTAGACTTTTAGGGTTTCTCCAGATCAGAGGGACAGATTCCCATCCAATTTTTTGAATTCCTTGTTTTCCTATTTAAAAAAAAACAAGATCTGCCTGAAGATGACTTCTGCACACCACAACATGCCACATTTTACTGGGCCTAAAATATGCCACTCAACTATTATTCTGTAAGCTTGTAATATTTTTCTTTATGGATAAACTACATTTTAAAAAATAGGTTACTATACAAAAACAACCACATGTATGCACTTTGCAATATAGCATTTCAATTAAGGTATAACAACTATAATACAATGGCTTCTGCTTGGAATTTGGCAGTTTTAAACTATCTTTTTTTCCCTAACTTCTGCTTTCCAAGTGCAACAAGGTTCCTTTTCCTCCCTATTAGTACCTTAATCCCACCATAAGTGTCAAAGGACAGGTCATAATTCCTTGCAATTTAGGCAGTCTCCTTTTCTATATAGTTTGTTCTAATAAAAAATGTGAAGAAACTGACTTTAAAAATAAACTATGATGCATAATCAATGTAAGACCAATAAAGCATGAACTGCAAGCTAGCATGGTGCAAATTTAGCTACTACAAATAGTTCGTGATTCAGCCGGTGTGAGGCTACAGCATTTTATTCAGCTAAAACATAGTTTAATCATGAATTTGTCTTTCAAACCATAAATATGGGCAATGGGAGGCAGGCCATTTTGTTCCTTTCATATTGATTACCAGATTATATCAAGAGTTCCAGATGACTTCAGGAAAGTTCCTTCTGAGAAGCATTATATCCACTGATTTGACCCACTGATTAGACTTTAGCTCTAGTTATTTGTGTGGGTCTTATCTACATACACATCTCTTAATTTAAGGTGGGAAAAACACCCTAAAACTACATGACATTATCTCTCCCAAACAGACATGAAATATGTTCCAAACATGCAAACATTCTACACATTTTTTGCATTTAAGCTTAAACAAGCACAAGCACTCCAAAATCACCAACTTCTATTTATGTACCATAATAAGCATAATGTCCTGTTTTCCCTTTAGAAAGGTGCCCCAAACATTCTGTTCTACTTTCTTTATAATGGGGCAAGACCAAGAATGCCTCAGACTCTCTTTCCTCCATCTGACTATGCAAAGGTTTACATACAATACCTTGCCACATCTTTCTGCAAAGGAACCCTGATTTTGTAAGAAACAGCCTTGGTCCAGCTGGGAGCCTATATTTATTAGAACCTTCCCTCCCTTCAGACATTTTTAATTCTTACCAGAGGACACATTCAGCCAGCCAGCATCCCCCACAACTTCTCACCTGGAAACCTTCAGATTGTATATCCTGGAAATTGTTAACACTTCCCAGGATACCAGCTGGGGGTAACACAGCCTCCACGAAAGCCATGGCTTATTAAAAAGCTATATCCCTGAAAGAAAAGAAGGAGAAATTAATAAGGTAGCATTCCACCTCTCAAATCTTTGCTTATTCCTAGCTACACACTTCTTAGGTGTAAAAGTTTGCTGTTACTCTCTCATATAAACACCATCCCCACCCAAACATCACCCCTTTCTTTCCATCTTTAAGAGCAAACCTTTCTACTTTTAGGTGTTACCATCAATATTTTTCTTCTTTTAATTCTTTCCTTCCTCAGTTTCAACAAGACAAGATTAAATGAAGCTACCTAAACCAATCAAAAGAAGGGGGTGTGACTAGTGAAGGAACAAGCTGCAGCTGGATTAGGATTAACCACAATCAACTTGTTTGCAGCACGTTTAGTAGATACTTTTTTAAATAAGAGATAAGGATGAATTCAGTTCAGTCAATTGTCAACTTTTGTTTACATTATATACATATATATATGTGTGTGTGTGTGTGTACTATATGTGTGTAGTGTATGTATGTGTGAGTGTATTTACATATATGTGTGTATATATGTGTGTTATTTATATGTATTTAGTTTATTTAGAATATAGAAGTATATATTACCCCTGAAAGAAATAATGTGGACCAAATAGTTCTAATCTGGACTGTTGTTGAAGTTTAAAAAAAAGATCAAACTAATATATATTATATTGTTATGTATTTTACAAATTTAAGAATCAAAGGAAAGCATATATTTTGCAGTTTTATAGATGCTTTCAGTATTTAAGGTTATTAGTAAAAATATTTTTTCGTAGCCATTTTATTTGGGGGGGGGGAGTAGATTATTTAGCACCCCAAAACTGCAATTTAAAACCCATCAGGGATTAGCCTGCAGTCATACGTACCTACTCAGAAGTAAATTGCATTAAATTTAGTTGGATTACATTTCAATAAAGATTATATGTTTGCATCTGAAAGTCCTTTAAGACTTTGTGCAATACATAATGCAATTTTTAAAATATACACCTAGAATGCCTCACTAACTTCCACGGGCTCTAGTTATAGAAATGCCTTGGTAAATAAAGTGAGAGCTTTGGGATGTCTCTAAGAAAACTATCTGCAGATCTAACAGGGAGTGAGTGAATCACCAGTTTTACACATGCAGATTTATAGTAGTCTGGCTTACTGAGCTTTGGAAGAATTTTTCTACACTCTCTAGCTTAAAATAGCATCAGGCTAAGATCATGACTGAAAGGGAACCTTGGAGCAACATTCACAATATAGAAGGCAATACAGTAATGTATAAGAAATAAAAATACATACTCCATTGATTATAAGGGAAATGAACCTTCATGGCTCATATTGTGCACACTGTCAGAAAAAGGCTACTGGCGTGGGGGGGAGGGGGGAGTTTTATTTGCAAAATCTCTACAATGGTATATATCATAATCACAAAACACCCATTTCTCTTGAAGCTGACTAGCAAGTTGTTTCCCACTAGTTCTCTTTTAAGCCCCCAAAAGTGCTTCCTACCTCCCCAGTTTAGTCATTTTTTCAGATAAATTGCAAGTCACGTGCCATATTGAGTTTTCAAGAAAACCCAGCACTTAGTTAATAAAACTATCTATTGGATTATAAATCTATGGCCCCCAGCTATGATGGCCATTTACTGTTCTTGTGTGCTTTACTACTTTTCCTATGTTAAAGTCTTTTTAAAAGGGTTGATTTCTTTTCACTTGTACATGGAGAGCAATTCTCAGGATAAGATATATGATCCTAATCCGAGCTTGCATAAGGGGAATGGAAACTGAGAGATAATGGCTTCATGACTAAGCATGCACTTGAAAGAAAGCCCTCAGTTCTTCTGACATAGCTGACTCTAATGATGGCAGAAGCAAATGGAGGAATCCTCCAGAAGTGTGTGGAGGAGTTAAGACTGTGGACTCTACCTTCATCTTGCCTTCCTCAGCCACACTAGCCTCCGGCTGATATTTTGGATTGCAACTCTGCTGTGCAAGGACAGGACAGCCAAAAGGGTGGGCAGCTTTCAGCTGGGGAAAAGCATAAATACAGATTAACAGCTTGCCTTGGGTTTGTATCAGGAGGTCTCAGAGGGGTCTGGCAGCAAGCTCTGTTCTGATATAGTACTGAGGGCTAACACTGTCTTGCCACTGAGAGGAGAGACACTTTGAAAAAAAAGGTTACATTGGCCCTTCCTAATGGGATTGAGAAGGAAAATCAATCATAGACAGGAATAAAAATCTTACGGTAGGGCTGGCTTAGGGTAGCAAATGAATGTGATTCATTTATGATTTAGTATGAATGCAGAAACATGCAGGAATTGAGTAAACTATGGTTAAAGCAAGGGTAAGTAAACTCTGCATTTTATGCAATTATATGAGGATGGATAAAAGTCCCTAACTTCAAACATGCACACTTGGGTTAGATTCTGTGTCTTTAATTATTTTCAAGGGATAAAATAAATGAACAAGTGACATGCAGAATCCAACTGTTGTTCTTTTATAAAGAGATAAGCTGCAGCTGCTAAAATATCGTGGTCTACCATTATATTAAAAGCTCAAATTGGGGATGAAGAGAAGTGTTTATTTTATACAAGCTGAATGTATAACACGGATTATTTATTTATTTAGCATATGGCACGTGTTAGCTAGGGGTCACCGAAGTGGCTGGCTGCCTCTGTGAAAGGAATTTTTTTTGGCGGGGTGATGTTTTCTTTACCCACAAAACGCCTGAATGCTGGTAGACATTTGGGGAGGCTCCTTTCTTTTTCCATGCACGGTTTATTTACTCATGGGAATTGAACCAGCTGCCGACCTCAGTAGCGCACAAGCCGAGCATCTTACCAGATGAGCCACCGCTATATAACACTGATATTTTTGCAGGATCCAATCTGGGTTGGTCACTGGGACCAGAGGTTTAGTCTTCCAAGCTTTTGGACTCATGCTAGAGCCCATCCTCAGGAAACTTCTCTTTTGCAGAGTGTATTATTAGCCTGGAACAAATATATTTGCCTTCATTCATTGATACTTTCCCTCTTTGGATATGTTGACTTGCCAGACTGTGAGAAAGAAATTTAGATTTTAAAAATCATTACCTGAAAAATATGTCATTAAGAGGTTACATTAAGATCAAATGTAAGTCTGGATTTGGCCCAAAATGATCATTGCACAAAAAACTTTTTACCCAAGAGAATGCGTTATTTGGGTTATTTCATTCATAAAGAATGAAATGTGCTTATACTCTTTAGCATGACCAGACTTGACCAGATTTTAGTTACCATAGTACAAAAAAGATATGGAGGTTCTAGAGATTAAAACATATGAAGAATGGTTGCAGAATCTGGGTATGTCTAGTCTAACTAACAGAAGGACTAGGGGTGACATAATAGCAGTCTTCCAATTATTGAGGGTCTGTCATAAAGAAGAGAGTGGCAAGCTATTCTCCAAAGCAAGACAAGAAGTATGGAAACTAACCAAAGACAGATTCGACCTACAAACTAACAAGAAATTTCCTGACAGCTAGAACAATTAATCAGTGGAACAGCTTTTTTTTAGAAGTTGTGGATGCATCTACACAAAAAAATTTAGGAAGAGTTTGGACAGCCATTTTTCCAGAATGATATAAAGCCTTCTGCATGACTAGGTGGTTGGACCAGAAGACCTCCAACTCGTTATTCTAAAATGTTAACATTTGAAGATTTATTAATACCCAATAAAATTAAGATGAAGACAATGGAACAATTAGCAACAGATGGACTTTTCAATGATTTTTCTAATAATCTAAGGAAAAAAGGTTTAACATGGATAGAAAAGTGGGGGGAAAATAACAACCCAGAGTTGTAGTTCTGCTTGAGGCATGAAGCCAAGCCTGATTTGGGGGCCAGTTATGTTCTCTTAAGCCCTACAAAGCAGGCAAGGGCAAACAACGTCCAAGCCAAGAAAATTGCAGCAACCAGTCCTGGCAATCGCTAAAGTCAATAATGACCCAAAAGCACACACATAAACTCCATCGTTTGGAGGTCTGTGAACCAAGACCTCCACACTATGCAAAGAAACACCCCTTTAAGCTGCATAGCTCTTACCAGGATTGGTGCTCAGCGAGAAAAGGTGCAATTTTTGAAACGTTTGAAAAGTGTCATATATGTGTTAAATGAGGCAAACAAGCAAAATAAGAAACAGCAATACAAGACTGAGTGGGGGGGAAAAAACTGCCAAGGAACGGCAGAACCCGAGCATTTACCGCCTGAGCCGCTTCGGGACTTACTCACTCCCCACCCCTCCTTTCCCCGGCCGCCCAATTCACCCCGCCCCCGTCGCCTGCGTCGTGGCCACACGCCTCCTCCGTTTAGCCAATGGGAGAGGAGCGCGCCGCCATGCGCGGCTAGGAAGGAAGGGCAGGCGAAGTCCATTGGCCTAAGGAGGGGCTGTGGTGAACCCGGGAGGGGGCGACGCCTTACTTGCCGGCCTGTCAATCTTCCGCGAAAAAGCTGGGAGCAAACCGTGAAGAAGCAAAGCCTCGATCAGCTCCAATCTCGGTCAGTATTCCTTTAAACCACGGGGCGAAGTGCTGACCCTGAAATCAGTGGCGTTCCCAGCACTTGTTGGTAGGAGAAGGGAAATCTCCGACCGAATCCCTTCTCTTTTCCCCCTAACAACAGCCGCCTCCCCCAGAAGAAACCCCCCGAGTTGTGTTTTCTGCTCTACGGAGCGCTAGGCCCCATTGCTCCTTCTCGCAAAGTTGGATCGGGTTTCTGGAAGTGGGCCTCTGTTTTCCTAATTTACGGGTCCCTTGAATACCTTTTCCCATTTCTTTCCCCTCATTTTATTTCTTTAATCCTAGGAACTATGCCCTGTTTGTTTAGTATGTGGTGCTTTAATTAAATTCTTGCTTCTGTGCTATAAATAGGACTGAACTGAGTTCTGGATATCACCATTCTTCTATTCCAGCATTTTGCTGGAGAAGAAGGACAACTGCACTTAGTTGAACACTCCAGTGACTTAGGATCTTACAGTTTTCTTCGTTTGACCTTTTCCAGAATTTATCCTCCATGGCGCTAAGGTTACCTAGCAGGCTATTTCTGCAATGCAGAGGCAGTATAACAAACTTATGTGATACTCGAACACAGAGCACTAGTGCACCTGTGCCAAAAGGTCAGTGACTGATTTTTGCTATCAAAGTGAGGGTAGAGATAGTAGGGCCACGGCTAAGAGATAGACAAACCTATTTAGTATTCTTGGATTTTATGGGGAAGGAGCACAACAGTTGGATTGAGAAATGGGCTTATTTTGTCACTTGTGTTACAGAAAAAGAAGGAAAACCTTTGGTGAATGGATCAAAAGGTAAAAACATTATTTCTTGCCAATTGTGATTTAGAGCTGCTTATCTGAGCTTATAAACGCCAGTCACTCTTGAAACAGCATTCCTCCTAGTTCATACATCCTTCCATTGGGAAAAATTGAACATCTATTTGCTCTGATGTATAAGATACACAAATCACTGTTAATTCCTCGTCATTAGTTTGGTGGGTCTCAGGAAGGATGTGAGTTTCCAGAGATCTATGCATCTATAGACATAGATTAGATTTTGATTAGATAACTAAAAGATTTTATTCCCTCAAAAATTGGTTCCAGATAATCTGTTCTATAAAATACAAACCATTACTGCCACTAACACAATTGATAATTTTATAAAACTGTTGTATATATGTGTTCCCAGAAATAAGTCCCACCACCCTGCCAACAAATAACAAATTATATAGAATATAAACTTTGACATGTATATTTCAGAGCCATATAGTATGGTTAAGGCATGGACTTAGACTAGAAACACGTGGATTTGCATTCACTCCTTGCCAGGGAAATCACTGGATAATTTTAGGGAAGCTGCTGTCTCTCAGCCTAGCACACTTTTCAAATATTCAAAAATGAAAGCAGATAGGTGAAATAGAATAATTAAGGCTACAAGTCAACACTTGAAAATCCGGTGAATATGTATAAAAATAACCTGTCCCTTATAAGGGTTTTCCTCAGTATATGTTGCTCTTGGAATCATGCATACTATCCTTTAAGAAAATCTTTTTTACACCTTGAAGCAAAGATTCCAAATACAAAACATAGTTTCAAGAAAAATGAATTGTATCACTGCAGTTCTGCAGTTTGCCTGTATACACTAAAGTGGACAATAATCTTGGGGTGTTTGTGTGAGAAAAATCTGTACTGCTAGGCAGAGATTTATACAGATTTGCACTTGCCAACTACACAACTTTTCAGTGGCATTCACGTTACTATCTATAGCAGTGGTTCTCAACCTTCCTTATGCTGCGACCCTTTAATACAGTTCCTCATGTTGTTGTGACCCCCAACCATAAAATTATGGCTTGGTTCCTAAGACCATTGAAAATATGTGTTTTCCGATGGTCTTAGGTGACCCCTGTGAAAGGGTCATTCGACCCCCAAAGGGGTCGCGACCCACAGGTTGAGAACCACTGGTCTATAGGGAGAACTGTTGGACTGTGTACTTCCATTATTTCAGCAGACCTTAAACGGTGCTTGATGAGGGAATTTCTTTATCAGTCCTTTTGTTCTTTAGGCTAGCTCTAGCTTTCTTCTTCCAGTTCCGAAAGCGCAGTTTGACTGGCGTGATGCCCTACAATTGGAAAAGCTTCTTACTCCAGAGGAAATAATGATGCGGGACTCATTTCGTGCCTATTGCCAAGAAAAATTGATGCCCAGGATCCTCATGGCCAATCGAAATGAAGGTAACTTTGTATTAACAATGTGATGTCCTTCATACTTTGAGGCTACAATCCCTTGGAACTGCTGGCTGACCTGAGGATGATGGGAATTGAAATTCAAAACCTATGTAGGGCAATAGATGGTCTATTATTGCTTTATGTATTATGACATGTTCTCCCCTTAGAAATAGGGAATCTCCTGTTTGGCATTTGCTGAATATGCCAATACATTAAATAGCTAAGTTACTTATTCAGCGGCCCTGTGGGAGCAGAATGGGGGGCAGTGGAAAAATTAGTAAATTGTTTTGAATCAGTTTTAAAAAGGCAGTGGTAGTATCTCTACTTATTTTAATTTCCTTTCAGATACTAAAGTTCTCAGAAGTGATAATGACACCTATCTAGAAATGTCAGAAATGAAAATATGTGTGTATATAAATCAAGGAGAGCCAGTTTGGTGCAGTGATGAAGGACACCAGGAGATCCTGCCTTATTTTTATCCTGCCTCAGGCATAAAGCAAGCTTTTGGACTATTCTCTCATATTCAGTCCTAGAAAGACAGTGAAGGCATACCATTTCTAAATTGTTGTCAAGAAAGTTGCATGAACTAATCCAGAATTAGGAATCAAGACTCCCTTGAAAGAATGTACATTGTGTATGTGTTGTTAAATATTCATTATTTCAAATGCAATCTTACCTGTGGTGATGCAGTGATTAGAATGCAGTAAAGGTAGGGGCTCCTGTGGATTTTACTCCACTAGTCGTTGCTGACTATAGGGGTGGTGCTTAGCTCCGTTTCTTGGCCATTGAGCCAGCGCTGTCCAAAGACATCTCCAGGGCCATGTGTCTAGCATGATGTCACAGAGCATTGAAGTGGTACCTATTTATCTATTTGCACTTGCATGCATTCAAATTGCTAGATTAGCAAGAGCTGGGGCAAGGACAGGAGCTCACCTCAACATGTGGGGCTTGGATCTTGAACCCAGGCTGCCGGCTTTCAGCTGGCAAGCCCAGCGTCTTAACCTCTGAACCACCATGTGCCCTATAATGCAGGATTGCAGGCTAACTCTGCCCACAGCCTGGAATTCAATTCTCACTGGCTCAAGTTTGACTCAGCCTTCCATCCTTCCGAGGTTGGTAAAATGAGGATTCAGATTGTTGGGGGCAATATGCTGACTCTGTAAAGCTCTTGGAGAGGGCTGTAAAGCAGTATGATGTGGTATATAAGTCTAAGTACTATTGCTATTAAAATACTGGTTTTCATGTAAATTCAGTAATTGCTGACTTCAGGGCTCCAGGCATTATCAAAGTTACTTATCAGTATTATAACATGCCTCTATGTTGCATAACAGGCTTCTGCAAAATATAGATATTTTAATGCATATTAAAATAGGTTTTCTCCTATTTTCGTTGTAGTCTTTCACCGGGAAATTGTGTCAGAGATGGGGACCCTTGGTGTCTTGGGCCCAACCATTAAAGGTATTGTCAAACATTTTCATGACAGTGAGTGAGCTCATATCTGTAGCAGAAAGGGAGGATTTTTCATAACTTTTTCATGTTTCTTGGGAGGAAAAGTTCAGAATACATCATGTCTCCATTTCAGCTATAGTTTAAGTATTTGATAAATCATTGGCACCACCTTTCTACCATAGGTATTTGTATACTTCTTTTATTTGACTGATCAGTTCTTTGTTTCTGCTAGTTTGAATTTGTATTCAGTCAGTGACTTCAGAGTTTTATCTGAAGTTTAATTTATTCCTTAATATTTCATTATTTGTCCCATAAGAGGAAATATAGTTACAAATCAATGAATGAACGAATAAAGTATGTATGGAAGTGTAACAATATGATGTATTTGGTTGTGCTCCTATCTGGTTGTGGGTTATCTCGCAGAATTAAACATTAGATTTTGTTTTTAAATGCCCTGTTATGAATTGTGAAATGCTTGAAAGACCTTCTTAAGATAAGATGATAAGGTAGGATACAAAATTTTAAAATCCAGTGTCAACTCTGAGGCAAATGTGGCTGAAGCCATCGTGTCCTGCCTCACAGTTGCTACGAAGCCTGAGAAAAAGGGGAGGGGGGAAGTAGATAGCCCAGCTTGCAGTCAAAATAAAAAGTCTTCCTGTGGGAACCAAGGTCATCCGAACAGGTGGCTGGTGAAAGGAGAGGATGAGAGGAGCCTGCCAGCCGTATTCATTGGACTGTTGACACTGGGGAGTGGGGAGGTATTCTTTTAATTAGGTGAAAACCACGGAAAACTTCAGAGTTGGTTTTCATCAGCTGTGCCGATACGATATATCCAATAAACATGATCTTAGAGGAATCTACCTGCCTCGGAGTCCTGCTTTTAATGGGTGCATTACTTGGAACGCTGGCATCCAGATTTAGAAATTACCAATCATTTATC